CAGCCAGCCTTGCTGGCTGGGGGATTCTGGGGGTTGAAGTCCACGCATCTTAAAATGGACAAGGTTGAGAAACACTGGTATAGGCTTTGTAGCACAGTTTTCTTTGTTAGCTCCCAAAGTTATTTAAGATGGGCAGCTATACAAATTCTCTAACCAAATAAATAAAGCAGCGTTGGCGTCAATAGGAAGGTCAGAGGCTGGTTCTGAAGCCAGCCCACCGAGGGAAGGATTTCCCTTCCGCACTTTTATCCGCTTTCTTCCCCAGCGAGAAACCTTCTCTTGCATGTCTTCTTTCTCCATCTGCAGAGAGGCTGCGGGAGCTCTTTCCGTCTTGAAAATGGAAGATCCGGTGATGGGTCTCAAGGTGGCAAGAAGGTCGGGCAAGGCAGGGAAAAGCCCTCAGCTGGTGTCGACTGGGAGCACTGGGAGATTCCCAGAAAGGGTGCCACTGCAGCCGAAGGTCAAACAGGAACTGGGTGAAGGGCTCCTTCCTTGTTGGGAAGCCCAGCGGCCGCACTTTCTGCAGGAAATGGAGCCTCCTGGCTCAGGATGGGGGCTTCCTCAGCCGCCTCGGGAGCCCACCCTGTGGGACGATGCCAAGGGCTTCCTGACCTCCTTTGAGCAAGTGGCCGAAGCCTGCCGGTGGCCGAAATACGAGTGGGTAGCCCGGCTCCTGCCTGCCCTCAGTGGGCAAGCTGAACGGGCCTTCAATGGCCTGGAGGTCAGAGACCGCGAGGATTATGGGAAAGTGAAGGCGGCCATCTTGCGGGGAATCGCCCTGAGCCGGGAGAAGCAGCGCCAGCACTTCCGGCGTTTCTGCTACCAGGAGGCCGAGGGCCCAAGGCGGGCTTGCAGCCGGCTTCAGGAACTTTGCCGCCGGTGGCTGAAGGTGGAGAGACACTCCAAGGAGCAGATCCTGGAGCTGCTGATCCTGGAGCAGTTCCTGACTATCCTGCCGGCAGAGATCCAGGTCTGGGTCAGGGAACGGGGCCCCGATACCTGCTCCCAGGCAGTGGCCCTGGCCGAGGATTTTCTGCAGAGGCAGCAGGACAGGGAGAAGTGGGGGCGACAGGTGAGGAGAACTGATCCTGATACACCCGTGAGCATAAGGTCAGTGGTGGGGATGGAGCCTGTCTCAAACTTACCAGGGTAGGAAGAAGAATCGCAAAGCATCGTTGGTGATTTCTAAAGGGGATTGGGTTTAATATTCACCAGGCTTTAATATTGACCTACGCTGCATGCATAGCACTTTTATTTTATTTTATTTTTTTGGTATATGCCCTGCTATGTACTGTTAACACCAGTCGACCTGATTCTACTGTACCAGCCACTGAGAAACTGACTAGATTAGAGAAACTGATTAGGAGTAGATAGATCAATGGCTTGTGGCTGAAGTAGCTAGAAGAATCTTGCATGTTCTGCCCATATCTGATAATTAGATAGATAGATAGATAGATAGATAGATAGATAGATAGATAGATAGATAGATAGATAGATAGATAGATAGATGATGTGCCATCAAATTGTTTTCGACTCCTAGCAACCACATAGATAGATTTTCTATGATACCTGATAAAGGCAAATAATAAGTAAGCTATGGATTTTAAGCTGAGTGGCAAACTATCCAGAGGTACCTATTGTCAGAGACAAAACTTTTTCCTGGATTCACTCTTGTGTTTGCTGCAAACCAGGAGAGGGCCTTCTCCCTGCATGTTGCTTTTCTGGCGGTATCTTGACTGTCCCCCTTCAGAAAGACCATGCTGGGTTAGACGAATGTTTAGTTTCATGTAGCTGGGTAAAGTGGATCTTCACTCATGTTTCAGGACTTCATGCCATGCGAGGAAGTAGCTGTTGGTTTCTCAGGAACAGAACAAACTTCCCAGCATCCGGGCCAGAGCCAGCTGCACAGAGGGGCCAAAAGAGAAAGGGAGGGTGACAGCAGCATCCCAGGTACTGTTTGCACCCGCAGCCTCGAAAGCTCTCGGTTTTAGCCCGTGTTGGTTCAGGTGTGATTCAGTGTGTTTATGTGACATCTGTTGCTAGTCTGGCAAAGACTGCACTCTTGTCATTAAGATGTGACCGTAGAGCAACAGTTGCATGTGGGGAAAACAAATCTGAACTCAACCCCGGTGTAAGAGAGCCTCAGAAAAGAAGGGGGCAGTGTTGAGGTCTCTCTGCTGCTGTCAGCCCTTTGAGATAGGCCAGTTCAGGAAACAGACTCCACAAGAATTACTGAAACTTTATTGATCTAGACTGGAACAACAGAATCTTGAAAGACTGATAGAAGAGAATATCTGTAGCTCAGGGTTGAACTGGGGATTCTCTGAGCTTGGTTCTTTTCTTGCAAATGTTTCATTACCCGGCTAGGTAACATCTTCAGTGCTAGAATGAAAGACTGACAGCATCTTGAAAGATTGACAGCATTTTCCCCTCCTCTCTCTTATACCCAAGAAGGTTAAGGGAGAGCCAGTTTAAATTTTTTCTGTTCTCTTTCTGGCCTGGACTTCAATCATGTTTGCTTAATTGCCACATTCCTTCTTCAAGGTCATCTCTGTGATTCTCTAGAGCCGGGTTCCCCAAAGTGGTCAGTATTGACCCCCAAGGGTTGATGGGACTATCCAAAGGGTCAGTGTTGTTGCTGTTATTATTCTTTGTAGTACTGCTAGTTAAAGTAGCATTTATTAAATTATTTTCATATAATAAATGTTTGAAGATCGATCAACAATCTGAAACCGATGAGTTGAAGAGTTTGGAGACCCCTGCTGTAGAGCTACCAGGAATTAGCATTCATATTTTTAAAAGATTGCTACATTATAGGAGTCTATGTAGCAAAAAATCAGAAGGATGCTGATAGTACCTTTTCCAACCAAGACATTTTATTACAAGGCAGAAGCTTTCACGAGCTGCAGCTCGCTTCATCAGATGCGCAAAGCATCTGTGACTCACTGATGAAATGAATGGCAGTTCACAAAAACGTCTGCCTTTTAATACAATTTCTGGGACAGAAAAGGTGCCCCCGACTCCTGACTGCTGCATTAATAGCCTAAGATTTGCTTATAGAAGGAAGCAGCATAAAGAAATGAGGTCAACGGTCTCGCCTTTTCTCATTCCAACAGAGTACGGAGCCACGAATGATCATACGGAGAGAAGCAGTTCGCAGGAAGGAGCTGAGGAAGGAGAACAATGCTGGATCCCCCAAAGACAACTCGCCGAGAACTTTTCCCGCATCCCCGAGCAGGGGAAGCTCTTCCAGAATCAGCCCCGGCAAGGAATCCAGACACGGAACAAAGTAGCCGTATCCATTGCTTCAGTAGTCAGTAGGAAGATCTTGGGCAAACCCCCGCTCTTTCAGACCCAGAAATCAGACATCCTGTCTGGGGTGGACTTGAGACAGGAACCGGATGATCATATCCCCGTTCCGGAGAGGCCTTATCACAAGTGTTCGATCTGTGGGAAGACCTTTGGTCAAAGCTCGCATCTGATTTTCCACCAGAGGACCCACGACATGGAGAAGCCCTACAAGTGCATGCAGTGTGGGAGCAGTTTCCACTCACGCCAAGGCCTCATCTACCACCAGCGGAGCCACGCTGGCGAGAAGCCGTACAAATGCTCCTTCTGCGGGAAAACCTTTAGCCAGAGCTCCCACCTCCTGGTGCACAAGAGGAGCCACACGGGCGAGAAGCCCTTCAAGTGTCCTGCCTGCGGGAAATGCTTCAGCCGCAACTCCCTTCTGACCATCCACGAAAGGACCCACACGGGGGAGAAGCCGTATAAATGTTTGCAGTGCGGCAGCCAGTTCCATTCAGGGTCGGGGCTCATTAACCACAAGAGGATTCATGCCGGAGTGAAACCATATAAATGCTCCAAGTGTGGGAGAGATTTTATCCGGAAGGCGCACCTCACTCGGCACCAGAGCATACACAGTGACGACAAGAACAGCACTTGACCTGGCTTGTGGGGGGACCAAGGGAGAAGCTCCTTCAAGGACTCGCTGCTTGTGTAGATCACAAGAATAAACACAAGCCATCTGAGTAACTATTGAGCACGCGTGTTTTAGGAATCGGAGTGAAAAAAGTGATCCTTTGCCAAAAAAGAAAACAAGTTTCCTACCAGTTTTCATTCCATTTGATGAAAGTGAATTTTCTTGAGAAGTCTCATTCAAAGCAAAAGAGAAAGGCAGTGAAATTCTCACAGTGGAGCCAGGCTCTTTGGCAACTGCTAAACTGAAAGTGATTCTTCCAGCGCAGAGTTCTCTTTAACAAGATTTACTGAGACATAAGGGACCAGGTTACCAGAATTCCAGCAAACAAACTATTTTATTTTCAGTGTAGGACCAATTTATCCAGGAAAAGACTTTCTAATTCTTTTCTTTGCAGCCTTCTAACAAACTGATGAGAAGGCAGGTCTGTTCACTGATACCGGGAAAGTTCACAACTGGTTGTTTACATAACAGTCTCTTGAATCTATCAGTCTGGGAACTAACTCATACAAACGGACTGTCTCTTGCCCTTATTTAATGATGAAGTGGCTAGGGTGTGTGTGTGCGAATACTCTATTTTTCATGGTATGGTCTGGTGATCTGCATTCACCCTCGATTCCTGAACTTCTGAAAGGAAAGATTCTTTGGGATTCCTGAACAATCCCAAAGGAAGATTCTCCTTCCAATTCAGACTTTTTCCATTTGGGAACTGTAGGGAGAGGCTTCAGAAGGGTGGGAAGATGTATCAGAAGACATTCACACATATCGGCCACCTCCACCAGTAAAACACGCTTGGTAGCACCACCGCGTGAAATAAATGGTCACAAACCCTGAGAATGAGGTAGCAAAACAGAAACCTTCATAAAGAAAGGAGCATTTTGAGAGATTGCTAGGCAGATCTTGGTGCAACATTAGGAGAGAGTTCTTACACCAACCACTTAAAGCAGTGTTTTTCTGGCTGGGGAATTCTGGGAGTTGAAGTCCACACATCTTAAAGTTGCCACGTTTGAAAAACACTGACTTAGAGGATAGAAGGTACAATGCCCAGAATTCACAAAGTCAGTCTTGTAAAAACTTGCAGAATTTATTAGTCCTCAGTTTTTTTAATTAGTTTTCTCAGGGGCTTTGGTTTCCTCCATAGGAAGGCAGGAGAGTAAAAATACTTCCTCTCTACCAGTTGTGCTGGTAGGGGAACAAATTGATGCCAATCATAGTATTTCCATTTGGAGGGTGGACGAGACGGGTTCCCTTCCTCTGACTAACCTTCAACTGGCACAGAGGAGAGAGGGCATACCGACCTGTTCACATGGCTGTGTAAAATCCCCAAATTGCTTTGCTAAAATGCAAGTCCAGTTTATTTACTTTTTCTCACCTTTGGTATTTCTCCCTGAGTGATCAAGAGCAGTCCTTTGATTTTTAAGACACCACGCCCCAAAACCGACCTTAGTGTGTTTAATAAAATGTCCCTCACTCCTTCTCTTTTGCAAGATCAAGCATTCCTTGCAGATTTGGACTCTCCAAGCATCTGTGGAAAAGAATTATTCTTCCCATGTTGAAGTCGTCAATGTAAAGTGAAAGGCACCTTTATTTTCTATAACAGTGTTTCTCAACCTTGGCAACTTTAAGATGCATGGACTTCAACTCCCAGAATTCCCCA